TCCGTGGGGTGCCACCGTGGGCTGGGAGGCTGGTGCTGGCACCCCGAAGTGGCTGGGCCCTGGACACAGCCTCGGGGTAGCGAGCACTCTGGCGGGAGGCAGTCGGCAAAGTCAGGGTGAGGGGCTCGGGCGCTCTAGGGGTCCCCGGGGGTGCACAGGCCCAACTCCAGCGGGAGAGGTGGGACCGGAGGGCCTGGGGCAGGGGGCCTACCTGCTTGTGCATCTCGATGTTCAACCCATAGGACATCTCATAGTACTGCAGGGAGAGACGGGGATGAGCCAGCGAAGACCTCGGAGATGGGAGAGGCCCCCACACCCAGCCTCAGGAGGCAGCAGCGGGGCTCCCACCCACATTCCAGGGCTCCTAATCTTTCGTCTTTGTGTCTTGTCTGCGTGGACCCAGGCCCCAGGGAAGCTGCCTCGCTGGGTATAAATATCTCAGGGTCAAGGGAGCCTGCTTGGTCTGGCTGGTGGCCTACAGCCCCTTCCCAAGCCCCAGCTGGGCCCCCGTCCCTCCCCTGGCTCCCCATTAGCCCAGGGGAAACCGCCAAGGTGTTCCTGGGCCTGCCTGTCCAGTAGGACCCAGCAAGGCCCCATTTCTCCAAGGAGCCTCCAGTCTGCACCTCCCCGCACCCGCCCCCCTCCCGGAGTCCTAGGTCCCAGCCTTGCTGGCCAGGAGGGGGGCACTGGCTGAACCCTGTGCGACCCCGGGCTGGGCCACTACCAGGTGCAAGAGACCACCCCTGGCAGGGATGGCCCGGAGCGGCCCCGAGCGGGAGGTTCTGGCTGGAAGGGGAAGGGCAGGTCTAGGGTGTCATGCACAGACCCCACCGACCGGGCTGGGGCATGAGGGGTTAAGTCTGAGGGTGACAGACCGGGAGGTGGGGGGCGGGTTGGGGACGGTCAGTTCCCAAGTTCCCAATCCTGGCCGCCACAGCCGGTGCTGCCTCCTGGGGGGGCCTGGCGGCCAGGCCTGCAAGCCGGCGGGTTGGCAACCCTGCAAGCCGGCGGTTTGGCATCCCGGTCACCGCCTCGGCCGGCAGCCAGGCCACCGGGCAGCTGGGCTGAACGGAGAAGGGGGCCCGTCCTCGTGCTTCCCCGGGGAGGCTGGGGGCGGCAGCTGCCTGGGGAGGGCGCAGGGGCTTTACCATCACGTAGTGACGCTGCATCTCCGACTTCTCGCTGGCCAGCTTGTCACACTCCAGCTTCAGGCTGCAGAGGACACGGCACGGTGGGCGAGGGCCCCATGGTGCAGGCAGGGAAACGGGCTCCCAGGGTCACGGCCCTGCCAGGAGGGTCGAGCCCTCGGCGGAGCCAGTGTTCTGAGGTGCTGGGATGGCGGCCTCAGAGTCCCTAACAGGAGGGTTCGGAAAACGACCCCAGTTCTGGGGGGAGACCTTCGCGGACATACCCCGGAGGTGGGAGCAGGCGCCTGGGGGTGGGACGGGGACTCGAAGAACCCCTCGGCTCTCAGGAACCCCGTGAGCTCGCCCGTGCTATTCTGCAGGTGACGTCACGGACGCCCAGGGAGGGCGGGCGACCGGCTCCAGGTCACAGAGCCAGGAAGGAGTCCAAGCTCTTACCCCCTGGGGGTTCTCCGGGCCCCAACAGCACCTGCGGGGCGCCCCAACCTCCTGTCCCTCTGGCTGTGCCGCCCAGGAGGAGTGGTGGCTGGCCCCAGCCAGACTGAGCTCTGGGCCTTTCTCGAAGGCCCCGGGGTGCGCCCCAAGGCGGGGGGGCAGCCGCCAGTCCAGGAAACCCAGCGGCAGGACGCGCTCCTGCGGCCCCCCAGGGCTGGCAGGCAGCTCAGTGCCAGGCCAGCGGGGTTCCACGCTCAGCCTGCCCCAGTCGCTGTGACTCCAGGCCACCCCGTCTACCTCTTTGGGCAGCAGCGTCCTCCCGTGAGAGGCACCCCGTAACGCCCACAGCCCCACCGCGCCGGGGCCGGCACTGCCCGCAGGACGGGGACACAGGCACCCCACTTTCCACGCCTCTGCCTTCCTCTCCTTTTGCTTTTTAATTTGCTACAGGGCGAGACCGAATGGGAGAGCGAGACATCTCCCCAGTCCCTTCTCTAGCCTCCTCTCGGGATTCTGGACACACACGCACACACCCGCTGTTTCAAGCTGCCAGATCCAGAACTTGAACCGCAGTGGACCAGGTGGGATCCAGCACCTTAGCCGCCACGCCAACTGCTGGCCCCCTCTGATTTAAAAATGTTTATCTGGGGACCAGTGAATGGTGTAAGGGTTACTTTGCTGGACTCCCATGCAGTTGACCGTGGTTTGCGTCCCGGACCCGGTGGCTTAAACTCACGCCGGGCGCGTGTGCGTGCGTGCCCAAGATCCCGAGAGGAGAACCGGGGTGATTTCTCGCTTTCTGCCTCTCTGGCAAGCACATACGCCCCATAGCAAAAATTAAAAAAAAAAGTGCATCTGTTGCCGCCATTAAAACAAATACGAAAACACAAAGTTGAGGGGCCAGCGGAAGGTGTGGTGGTTAATGGCACTGGACTCCCACATGACTGACCGCAGTTCGAGTCCTGGACCTGGCGGCTTGCTTTCTCATTTTGTCTCACTTTGACCCTCTCTGGTCAAATTGAAATAAACAAGTGAATGATAAGGTAAAAGATAATTCTTAAACACAAAGTTGAGGCCAGGGGTGGGGTGGTGGCCAACTACACTTCGAGTCCCCTGGGGTCTCAAGGGGACAATGGAGGAGCCCTCTCCCTGTATCCTTCGCCCTCAGGCAATCCCACTCCCACTGCAAACCTTCGCTGTCCCCTCCTCTGCAGCGATGTGCAAGGAGCTATGTCCGATGGCAGGTGTGTGTGCCAACACGGCAGGGGAAGGCCCGGCTCGGAGGACCACCACCCCAACGCTCAGAAAGGGAGTCTGGCAACCCCAGGGCCACCAAGCAGGATGGCAGCAACCTGCAATCAGACGGGCCTCGGGCTTCCTGGAGGTGGCGCCCGCACACCGCAGGGCTAAAGCCCCTACCTTCACCCCCTGGGCCTGCTGGCAGGTGGGCAGGAGTGAGCAAGAAGGTCCCCTGTTCAGGATTTAGCACGTGGGGCGTACCCAAAGAATTGGATATGTAACAAAAAATTAAAACATTCTCTTTTTTTTCTCGGGAAAAATGAAAGAACACTTGTGGGTAAACTGAGTGTAAATGGGGACCTGAGATGTGCGGCCCGTGGGGACTCTGCGTTCTTTGCCGGAGAGGGGCCCATCTCTGCTCTGCTGTGCAACCCCGCGGACCCTGACCTCTCTGGCTTGAAGTTGCTCTAAGCAGAAAATGAGGACCGCAGACAATGAGGGCTTTCTTCCCTTCTACCCCAGGCCGCGAAGCCTGCAGGGGGCAGCTATGTGCTGTGGGGGAAACCTCTCGTAGCTGTGGGACACCAGAACTCTATTCCCCCAGCCCGGCAGGCTGCAGTTTTCCTTTCTGGGGGGACAGGGAGGGCAGGCCCCTAAGTGGCTGTCGCGACCCAGGGTCTCTGCACACCACTTCGCTGTTTGGCCTCGCCTTTCTCACCTGCCAAATGGGCCGTCTGGAGGCCAAGGCCGCTCCCTGTGCGGAAGCGCTCCAGGCCCGCCCGCCTGCAGGCCACCCCCCGGCCACGGGTCCCCCTGGCCTGGCCCCCCCCCCGTGGCCCCCCCGGCCCCCCCCGCCTGCAGGCCACCCCTCGGCCACGTGTCCCCGTGGCCTGGCCGCTCACCTGTGGTACTGAGCCTGCAGCAGCTGGAACTCGTCCTTGATGCGATCGCAGGAGTCGGACGTGGTGAATTTGAGCTGCTGGGGGAGGTGCGAGGAGCCCTGCGGGGGGCGGCGGCCGGGTCAGGGCCGCCCGAGGCAGGGGCCGGCCAGCTGCAGGCGCCCCCTCTGCCCCACTTCCTGGGCCGGTGTTTACAGCCCCTGCCGCGGCCCCCGCCCGCGCTTCCTGCCCCCGCCTCTCCGCGGGAGCCGAGGGGGTGGGTGCGCCCGAGCCGCGCGTCCCCCGCCACCCCCAGGCTGTGGGGGTGCTTTTGAAGGCCCGCCCTCGGTGGGGGCAGGGGCGCCCTCTACCGCCCCTTCAAAGAGCCGGGTGGGGGAGCACGTCCGAGCGCCCCAGAAGCCTTTGGCGCGGTGGGGGGGGATGCATCCTAGACTCCCCCCTCCCAAGTCGGGGGTAGCAAGGCCTCCCAGCAAAAGTCTCTGGGGCGTAGGGCCTCGCTCCAGGCCCGAAATCTTGCCGGGGCGGGGGACCCACCCCGGATTCCTAGCACCCTTCTGGGAGGGGTGCGCCTCGGCCTGCTCCCCCCACCAGGCCCCGAAAGCTGCCCCGCGCTAGGGATGGCCGGTGGGGCTCCTCAAGCGCCCCAGGCCGAGGCCAAGGCCGTCCGAGGCCCTGCGTGGTTCGGTGGGGGGTTGGGGGTGGAGCGCCAGGCCCGGAGCTGGAGAGGGCCCAGGGCCACGG